CTTAAAAAGGTAGCAGTTCGTAAGGACATTCTAGCATAATTGCCAATTTATTATGTATAAAAAAACTCTTATAGAAATCCAAGAATACGTAATTATCACAATTTATGGGATGTTAATTTGCAAATAAATATTTCAAAAGACAATGCTATAATCAAATGCAAAAATATCAGTTTTCAAATAATAAGGCAGTCATTTGCACATGAATTTTACAATGTCTAAATATTCAAAAACAGTAGAAAGAAATCTCACAATTTTACTAAAAGTAGAAATATCACATTTATTTCTAATAATTTTACAGTATCTAAAATTCTCTAACAATAGACAAGAAAAATAAATAAATTTATTTCTAACAACTTACAACATTTAAAATTTCTAACATAGATAAAATATCACGATTTTATTACAAAGAATATTTTTCAAAATAATGAGGTCGCTTGCTCATAAAATTTATCGCGCCTAAACTTCATGATAATAAACAGAAGTAATTATTTCATTTTATTTTTAAAAAGAACGGATTATTTTTCAAGATAATGAAGTCACTTACCTAAAATATTTGAGAATGAGCTTCCGATAAAAATTCGGCTAGAGAGAGGAGCTCACTGTGTTTGTAAGAGAGAGAGCAAGAAAGGAGTTGTTAGGCGACGTCTTATCTTTCGTCCTATTTAATTTCTTTAAAACGCCTCCATCTCCTGTATGAGGTATCGCGTAATTGACCGCCTTTAACACCTGAAAACCACGTCCACTAAAGGACGTGGCAAGGCAGCAAAAGCTTAAAACAAATGAAGGTAAAAGCTTTTGACAGTAGTGATGGTCTCTAAGGACCATCATGCTCATATCGACCATCACTTATTAAAAGTTTTTTTTTTTTTTAATGAAAGTTTAGGATTGTTACAGAACCATTACATGCATTGAATGGATAATGAAAACAACATTTATGTAGTTCAGACTGAAGCTTTACATCCAAGGATCCAAAGCCCAACTGACTACATCTTCACTATTTTGGATAAATGTATACATCAATAAGTACCTCTATATATATATAGAGGACGATCACATAATTAGAGAATAAATATGATAAATATGGTATGATTCTTGGAGATAGGTAAATAATAGAAGGCTTTATTACTAAACTAATTTGACGTTTATCTTCAAAATACCTAATCTACCTAACTTGATGTTTATCTTTTAGATACATAATCTTATTAAGAGATATATGGACATACCTAATCTTATCAAGAGATATATATTCATACATCCATAATGATGTATATCAATACGAACCCGAGATATCCGAGATATCTATATTTTAACACTCCCCCTCAAACTGAATATGCTTTGACACAAAGCATCTGAAGTTTGAATAATACTAAGTTGACACCCTCAAACTTAAGATGGTTTGACATAAAACAGCTGAAGTTTGAACAATACTAAATTGCCAAAAAAATGAATAGTGATCAAATCCGTTATAAACTTCACAGATTACCATGGTCTTCCAAGAAACAACATTTCTTGGGCTCTCTACTTTTTTCTAGAGACTTACTCTCTTTAAGGTCTTCCAAGAAAGAACTTTTCTTGGGCTCTCTATATTCTTCTAGAGTCTTTCTCTCTCTAGGGTCTTCTTCTCAGAAGATCTTCTTTTCATGGGCTCATTTTCTTTTTAGAAGCTTTTTCTCTCTAAAAAAAAATGATCATCACATAGGATGGAGCAATGAAAAACTCCATCATCCAATAGGATTGAGTAACGAAAAACTCCATCATTGAAACATAGGCATCTGGAACAACCAGGATTGAGTAAACTCAATCATCATACATGCTGGAGTAATGAAAAACTCCATCATCAAATAAGATCAAGCAACGGAAAACTTGATCATCAACCAGGATCGAGAAATTCAATCATCTTCATCTCTTCATCGGGAGATGAAACTCTTGATCATCAACCATGATTGAGAAATTCGATTATCTTCATCTCCTCATCTAGAGAGGAACTCTTGATCATCAACCATGATCAAGAAATTCGATCATCTTCATCTCCTCATCTAGAGATAGATCTCTTGATCATCAACCATAACTTCTCTTTGCATAGTAGTTTAACTGATCCATAATTTGGATTTTCTTGTCCACAATTGGTTGACTTCATCTCTACTCATCTCATCTCCATATCTCCTATACTCTCCCCCTCAAGTTGGGTGTGGATGTGAAGAAACACTCAATTTGCAAAATACTTTTTTTTTTTTAGATCATCACCAATCAGCTTCGTGCTTGAGCATATTCTCTTATCGTCGTATTTGCTAATGTCGAAATTTGTAACAGCAGAGACACGTCGAAACTTAATGGCCGCGATATCGTAGGCCTCAACTGCCTCCTCTTGCATACCGAGATAGAGGTCTTTGTTACCGGCAACTCTGCCAATGCGAGCTTGCCATCGTCCGTGTTGATGATGCTTTGTCACTCCACGATACACAGATGCCCCTCTGGAAAAGCCAGAAATTATATATGGTATTAGTATAATTCCCACACAAATAATTATAATTATAATTATCGATTATTAAATTGTAATTATAATTATAATTATAGTTACAATTATAGACTACAGATGCCCCTCTGGAAAAGCCAGGAATTATAATTACTACATAAATAATTATAATTATAGATTGCATTATTATAAATGTAATTATATATTAATAATATTATTATTATAAAAATATATTCCACATTATTCTTCTTATTTTTGGAGATACCTTTTAGCCGAAATTATAAATTTGAATAGTATGTGTACATGAATAATTAAAAATATACTTTAATAATTATACTTTTGTACTTTGGTAATTTAAAATGCAATAATTCATTTAGTATAATGATATTAAATATAATTTAATTGGTCATATAGACAACAATTATGTTATACTCCTAGATTTTTAACTCAATAATATTAATCTATTGTTTTGGGTTATTCATATTAATCTATTTTAATAATATATGAATAATTACATAATCATAAATTTATTTTTATAAGTAATAGATATTACTATAATTGATAATCATAATAATATCCTTTTTATGATATTTAATTTGATATATTAAAATTTTATGTGTTATTCAACATAATACATAAATAATTATTTTGTTAAATTTATGTCTATTTAATCAAATAGTATTTCAATCATTGTTGTTTGTTTATGAGAAGTATTTCATCTCTCTTGCGCTATCTCCCTACATGTGTGAGAAACTATTACTTTTATTTTATTGCCTTTCACTTTCTCCCTATATATGTGAGAAACTACTACTTTTATTTTATTATGAAATTTAGTTTAATTTTTATTTCATTTTAGATTTTGTAAATTTATTTTTCTTTATAAAAATATCATAAAAAAACATTACATGCATAACATTGTGATAACACCTGCAACGCAAATGCATGCTACTAGTATAAGAGAATGTGAGGAGAGGCAGGAGCAGAAGGGGTTAAGTAAGTAAGGGTTTTTTTTTTTATGATTATAGTGATGGACGCAGTTTCTATGCAGTAGGTTTGGCAATAAATATATTTTTTAAATATAGTTTGATCTTAAGTTTTGGAAAATATATAATTTTTAACATGGAGATCATGAGTAAAAATAAAAAATAAAAATAATAATTATATTAAAAAAACATTTGGACCGCCTGTTAGTTAGGAGAAGTAGAAAAAGCTTGACGTTGTAGTTATTCCATGATACAAAATATAGTATAACTATGATATATTAGTTTTTCTCAAGTATAGAAAGGTTGCCCTCATATTTATTGCATGACACATGACTATGCTATGTGACCTTTTGAATGAAAGCGGCCTACACAGTTCACTTCATTCTTTCATGGCTGAATCTTTCAAAACCAGATGACTCAGTCCTCTACGCCATTAACGTTAAGCTTTCTTTCTTTTCTTTCGTTGACGTTTATGGAAACCAAATATCTGGTTTCTATAATTGTCCACTGTAATTCTTATTTCAAAACAGGAATTCTTGTGCTTCTGACTTTCAGAGAAAGAGAGATGGCATTTACCTATCTGGGACCTCAGCAAAGGCCTGATGGCGCTCGAAGACACGAAAAGGTGTCCTGGAAATTGAAAGAGGAGTCGTGGCTGCCGAGGGGCATCGGCCTGTCTGGTATCTCGGGCACCTCTACATCCCCTTGCAGCATCCTCAGAGCCTCAGTCATGGTGGGCCTGAACGCCACCATCACATGAGAACACAGTATCCCCACCATCACAAACCTCTCCATCACACTCATCGGACCCTCCTTCCTCATCCCTTCCTCTATCACCTCCCCTATTTTCCCCGCCTTCATCAGCCCCCACGCCCAGTCGCTCACCAGGAAAGTGCGAACATCCATGCCTCCGCTTGTGTCTAAGGCTCTCCTCCCGCTCATGATCTCCAGCACCACGACCCCAAAGCTGTAAACATCGCTCTTCTCTGTCAATTGCCCGTAGAGAGCGTATTCAGGCGCCAGATACCCGTGCGTTCCGGCCACGTGGGTAGTCAGGTTAGACTGCCCGTCTCTGCTCTGCTTTGCGAGCCCAAAGTCCGCGACCCTTGCGTTCATGTCGGCGTCGAGCAGGATGTTTGTGGCCTTCACATCACGGTGGAAGATCGCCGGCTGCACCCCATTGTGGAGGTACGCTAGGCCCTTGCCTACACCCACTATGATCCTCCTCCTCTGTGCCCAGCTCAGCTGGTTCCCGTCCTTCTTCTTTGCGCCGAACACCCAGTCCTCGACGCTGCCATTCGGCATATATTCATAGACAAGAAACATCTGCTCTTCACCAGACTCGTCTCTGGCCAAGCAGCAGCCGCGAAGGGGGAGGAGGTTCCGGTGCCTGATGTTGCCAACGAGCTCAACCTCATTCGCAAAGTCATTTTTCTCCAAGCAATCGGGTGCAGTTAGCCCCTTCACCGCCACAAGAGTCCCATCGGAAAGAGTCCCCTTATACACAACACCGAAGCTGCCCTCTCCGATAAGGTTTTGCTTCGAGAAGTAATCGGTTGCCTGTTTCAGGTCCTGAACATCAAACCAGACCGCGCCTGTGTTCGGCCGCTTCACCCTTCCCTCATCATCTTTCAAGATCAAGCCCTTCTCTGGGCGCCGTCGCCGCCACCACAAGTACATAGCGCAGATTGCCGACATGAGAATTACAACAACACCAGCCCCAGAGGACCCAAACACAACAGCAATGCGTTTTCTGAACCCAGATTTTCGTGGTGGCGCCAGTGGTAGGCCAAGTATGCAGAAGGCAGTGCCTAGGTCCTGAGGGCCCTTCGAATTCCCGAATGCAGCCGCATATAGAATAGCATAATAGAAGCACTCAGTGCTCTGCGAGGCATTCTTGGCGATCTTAACCAGTCGAGCTGACACTTTGTTGGCTGAATTGAGGCACACTTTGCATGCTGTTAGATCAGAAACGTCATCACTGCAGCCGTCTTCAAGGGGCGTTGACGGGCCAAGTATACGTAGCCAATCCTGCTTCGTCTGTATGCCGGCACACCGCCAAGGCCTGATAACGAACCTCTCTGAGTTGTTGAAGCAAGAGGGCACCAGAGATGCAGGGAGAGAGAGAGCGGTAAGTTTCGACTGGAAATCGATGAGGCAAGCGGCGGAGGAGGGAATGTCGGGGAGTTTGAAAAGGGAGGTCCTGTTGAGGTGTTGGGCGAGGGCAATGCCGAAGAGGCTGAGGAGGGTCTGGCAGCAGTGCTGCTGTTGCAGGAGGTTAGGATTTGGGTCGGGGCTCTCGCAGGCGGAGGCATCCCAAGGGAGGGAGTCAACATAGCCGAGGTCCATGGGGCAGGAGGCGGAGGGGGCCGGAGATGCCTCTGCGTGTAGAGAGAGAAAGAGAGTAAGAGTGAGAAAGGGAGCAGACAGGGGTGGAAGCCACATTATTTTGGGCGGGGCGGAGAGTGATTTAGGGGGTGGAGGAGGGGCCAGGGAGGCCGGGGTCTCTCTTATGGAAATATGGATAGGTCAAATGGGGTTGTTGGGGCTCCTAGGTGAGACTTGGTCTGTGTTTGTTTTCTTAATGATGATCAAGTGTTGATAAGGCTTAGGTTTTATGAGGACAAAATAAAGTCTCACGTCAAATCTTCACTTGGAAAGCACTTCCAGCAATGGAAATTTCCGTCCGATTTTAAAATCGATTTTCAACTAAGAAATTAAAACTTGAAAGTCAAAAGTAATACAGGATCTTTCGGATCATTGAACACTTCTTTTTTTTTTGGCAAAAGGGAAGGTTTAGATAATTTATTACAATATAAACTATTTTTAAAGCTTAAAATCTTAATTTTTTTTGTACAACCATGATCTTTAAGCTGAGATTCTCGATAGAAGGGTTCTCTAATGCTTGAATTGCAATATTTCTCAGATTCTCGATGTAAAGGTTCTCTGATGCTTGAATTGCAATATTTGATGAGTTATGTGGAGATGATTTATTTACTTTTGATAGGGATGCAGCCATATCAAACTATTTTCGCTTTCTTTAATTCCTTTTGCTCGCTCACCTTTCCGACTTTCCGAGTATATTATTGTCATTCTCCCACCCTCTCCTTAGTTGAAATCTTTTATGAGCATGTACACAATGCTCCCGAGGGAGCATAGTTTACTCTACTTCCCTTAGTCGGATTGACATACTTCGGTGGAGTTTTTTGATTTGAAATTTTGGTAATCACCTTGGAAGAAATAAATGATTTACCTCAAATAATAAAAATTTGAATTTTCCAACATTTGCATCTCGTCCTCTATAAATTAGATGGTTTTTATTCAGAACATCATTTTTTTCAAGTGCTTGGATAGTACAATTAGAATATTGTTTTTTATTGAGGTTAACCTATGTGTTAAAGAGGATATACTTTAGGGTTAGTCTCTCTCAGAGTTTGAGAACCTATTAAGTTTTTTTAGTGACAGAATTTTTTAGAACCTATTAAGTTTTTTTAGTGACACATCCAAACTGGTTAGTCTCTTCGTGCCCTTTCTTTTTTGTTCTTTTTTTTTTTTAGGAAAAGCTACATCAAAGAATTTTTATTTTTTATTATTCAC